CATTTGGCTCCTCTACCTCTTGAGCGCCAGAGAGTAAGGGTAGCATTAGCATTGTAAGTAAACATTAGCTTTTCTTGTTTTTATTTCAGTAAGAGGTTTTTATTTAATAGAATTTTTGGACAAAAAAATCACACTATATCACAATATATTGCCTTGTTTACAGTATCGCAATATATCAGGATATATCGTATCGTGACCCGTCTGTCATGATATGTATCGTATCGCCAAATTCTTGCCAATACACAGCCCTACAAAAAAGGTTTCATAAAACTCCGGCTGCTGCAGGAAAAGCAAACAAAAACTACTTTTCAGCTCATTTGCTCTCAAAAATGCAATGTTTTAGTTCTATTGTCCATCTTTTTGGCTTTTAAAGAGGCATATTGATCCAAATATTATTTATTTATTTATTTATTTATTTATTTATTTATTTATTTATTTTCTATTGTTATAAGTCCACACTGCAGCTTGTTTGAAAGCAAAGTTCTAATAGCTCAACTTAACACTCAAGGTATGATAGTATGATATTGTATTGTATGTGTTGCATGTTTTTAGCATTATATTCAGACATATCAGTTTGAGAATATGACAGCTTCATGGGTTCATGTCTAAATTGGGGTTTCCAATTGAAGGCCTGCTGTGAGGAAATTAAGAATAGTTAAAACCTGCTTGCAAAAAACATTTGTTTTATTCTTGATATTTAAAAACAAATATTACCACGCACCACTTACTGTATTTCCCTATTTCAGTTTACAGTACACAAACATGCACTCAACTCAGCCTCAGCTCTGCTAAGTGTTAAATTTAAACTAAATTAAATCTGTAAGTAGACACTGTTCATCACAGAAACCTCATTGTATCAGCAGATTGCTGCTGTTCAATGGACTTGACCACACAATTCAAGAGTTTCCTTTCAAATTCTTACTTATCATTTCCATCACAGTTTGAATTAACTCAAGGCTCAGTATAAGCTGTAAAAAGAAAACATTAATGCCGGCCATAGTTAACTTGTGAGACGTGAATAATTATCTGCTTTGAGACTGTGAAAGATCTTTCTGCAAAGTCAAACACAGTCGCTAACTGAGAACGCAAGCTGGGCCATCATCCTCAGAACCTGGAGCCGGGAAAAGGTCTCTCCAGGGTCCTCTGTACCTCCACCCACATTTGTCTCCATGGAAACAATGAATCTCAGTGGGCTTCCATTAAATGAAGAGATAAACAGATGCAAAGCCGTAGCTTTGTTCCGCGTCTTTGCTTTAAWTAATTGCACACATGTGGGTTACATGTGTCTGCAGTCTTAACTGTTATCTGAGAAGTGTTAAAAGCAACATGTCTTGATATAAACAAACACAAAGACAGGAGAACGTCCTTTAGGTGATATACGTACTGTATATGGATGTGAAACTCAGACTGTAAACTCCTGGAACCCTGAAACACACAATGTATAAAAAATACACAAATTAACATGTTTTTTTCAGTGAAACTTTGACAGATAACCTTGTTTGCTTCTTAGTGACTGATTCCAAGAGCTAAAATTTAGTAGACTGATCTGATATTGAATGCCAAGACAACAATAAAACACATTTTCAGTGTTCAAGGCTAAATTATGAAAAATAGATTTCGATTTTATTATCTTTCATTACCAAATCAAATAAAGGCTGCAAATTTAAACAAATATAAAACAAGTACAGAATGTTGAGATCATTTCATTAGAATAAAGATTCAAACTGGTGTGCTTAAAAAACTTAATTAATTAACAAAAATGTATGAACACTATTGAAAAATGCAGTTAGCAGAACTGAGTGTGCCACAGTCTAAACTCAAATTCAATGCATTCTGAATGAACATGGATCTAAATACATGCAGCTTTTGGATTATGATGAAGGCGACCGTTCCTTTACAAACATTTAAAACATAAAATGGGGGAAACAAACCAAAAATAAATAAAAAGATAAATAAAAATAAAAAACCCACATTGCTTTACAAACACGTACAGCTACAAAAAACTATTGTGCTGTTTCTTATTTTTCCTGTCATTTTTTTTTTTTTTTTGCCTTTATTGTGGCTTCTGCCATGGATTTCTTTGGACATTTTTGTCACAGAAGAAAGATTTGGCTCTTGTTGTCGATGAGACTCATACATGTGTCTCTCATTGTCCAAAAGGCTGAGCTGTGTCAAGATATCCTCCTTTTGTCAGAGCCCAAAATTACACAAGAACTCTTTACTCCTGGAAACCTCTCAGCGTTTAAAGTTTGTCTGAAGTAAATTGAACGGGTGCCTTGAAAGGAAAAAAGTCTCGAGTTTCTTTTCTCTTTTGTTTGATTTTTTTCTATAATATTAAAACTGAAAGTTGAACTCTGAAAGAGTATTGCAGTGCTTTTGTTATTCTTCTCAGATCATTTTGCTTTTCATTTTGTCCATGCAAAAGCATATTTCAAAACTCAACCAAAATCAGATCACTCACTGATTTTGAATTACAACTATGTAATATTGCCTGTTGCTTTTTTCCAGAAGTTTTGCTTATGTTGCTAATACATCTGACAGCAATTGGTTGGGGAATTTATATTCACGTAATAAAAGTTTATGGTGCTGAAAGAGGGCTGCACAGTAGCATTGTCTCCTCACTGCAAGAAGGTCACTGCTTCAAACCAACACTAAGCTGTTCTCCTTGAACATGCGTGGGGTACTTTGGTTTCCTGCCACAGTGTAAAAGCATACATATTATGTACCCTGGATATTACCCTATGTTACCCCTCTTTTTAGTCAATGTGGAAATGGTCCTACACTGCTTGTTAAATAAAAGCTATGGTGGTTGTACTGTATATTTTATCTGGTATAACCCACTCAGTCATGACTGAAGGATCAACACGTGCCTCTTTTTTAGGGTAACACTATTTTGAAAAAAAGTTTACAACAACTTAAAAGAGTTAGCACACACAAAATGCGTGTATCATACGCAATTCAGGTATTTAGAAGAAATTTCTGAGGATGGTGGCGAAATAAAGTTATTTTTAGGGTCAAAGCCCCATCATTACTAGTGTATCAAAAATTCACTTTTACAAAAGTCCGCTACTTTTATTGAGCTGTATGACAATGAGTGCCTCACCCATTGTGTAATACCTTCATGTATGTACTTGATGCATAAACCCAGCTTTTGATCCGGCTGGGAAGCCTGCACATGGCTTCAAGAAGGCTTGTCAAGCGAATGAAGTGGTAATTATGACTGAGTGCCACTTCAAACACTGAAAACTAGTGTTTTCCTACCCATTTCATCTTCAGGATGGGTGGCTTATTTCCAAGCTATTTGCATACATAATATCACATCAGCTCTGAGCATGTTTGAATATTTTGTCTTCATTATCTGTCTCTGTCACTGATTGATTTGTCAGTAGCTCCTCTGTTCTGAGCTAAAATGACTCATAGTTAAAATCTAAAATAAAGGTGAAGTGACCAAGTCACTTTGTGATGAAAAACAGCTAGTTTGCTACTTCCTTTTTTGCTGACGAGTATTTACTGTAGCTCTGAATGGTCAGGCATGTTGATTAAAAAATATTGCCCTGCTCTTTGGGGATTCATTAATAGAACAAGACAAGTATTAGCCTCTCGGCCAGAATTAGAAATCACTTGGAGTTTTGTCCTGTGCTGTGACCTTGTTGAAATTAAACAAATTGAGAGGAGGTGGTATCTTCAAGGTTCTGCTTAGTTTACTAAATAACTATCAGAAGTTGACCAAAACAGCTGTAACTCCATTATCAATTAAAAAGTGCTATGAAAATTGTTAGGTATGAATTTCTTTAAGGAATGCCAGGCCATTAATTTCAGGAAAACAACAGCTTATTTTAAAGACTGGAGATTTTGAATAGTAAAGCAACACTATTAAAATAAATTGGTTATTTTTTAACACATTTTCTGTGTTAGCATCAAGTAAACACATCTTGTGTTGTTTTCTACACCTTATGTGTTGTTCTAGTTAAACAACTGGACATAATTAGCAAATTTGTTGGACTGAACTCAAAATGTGTTGTATAAGGTATGAAAATGTGTTGGGTTTTGACTTTGATTCAAGAGTGTACTTTTTCTTTTATACTTGTTTCATTAACATTTACTCTAAATGCAATATTTTCAAGTCATTTTCAAGCTGTTTTGTAGACAGTATTGCTAATTTATTTGGCCAGATGTAAAGAAGCCAGCTATGCAAGTTTTCTCGTGCTACTGGATAATGGTCACTGTCTGATGCAGAGGAACAATAGATTTTGAACGCAAAGAAAATCCCAATTGTTCTGCTACCAGAAAGACCAGAAAACATGACATATGGTTTGTCTCTGTGTTGGGATTTGGGGACTTGTTTGCAATGCTTTGTTCAGCTCATGATCCCTGAGCAGGATTACATCACCATTTGTCGATTTGAGCGCTAGCTGTTTTATAGAAAAACAAATGAAAAACCATAAATGTCACAGAGATACTATGACTTTCATGTCTTTTTTATATAAAAACCCTCTGTTTTTGTTGACCACTTGGGAGTTGGTCTACATTTAAACTTGAATGTTTTTATCATAAAGCTTAGAAGCAGAGTTGGCCTGTTATGTCTATGTTTCCTTGGTTTTTCTGTGTTTCCCTCTGTATCATTTCCTCCAGCCCCGCCCTCGCTAACCTGTTTCCTCTGGTGTCTCCTCCAGGTGTTTCTCATTGTCTCATTAGTTTTGCCTTTATATTCTGTGTCCTGTCCTCAGTGTTTTGTTGATTCTTTGCTCTGTTTCCCAGTCAGTGTGGTGTCTTTCCATGATCATGTTCTTGTTCCTTGAGATACTTTGTGAGTACTTTCTGCCTTGCCAGTCTTTTTGGTGAATAAAAGGCCTCTTTTGCCTATGCTCTGGACTCTGCTTGTGCCCTGGGTGAATCTGCCTCCCTTACCTCACATGGCCATTTTAAATTCACATGTAGAATGCTTGTTGTAAAGAAGCTAATAGCCCCCATTATTGAGTCTGCACAAGACAATCTGGATAAAGTTAAATTCATTTAATTAATAGAGAATTAAAAGTAATTTATCCAGCACCAATTTACTATATATATATAG